AAGCATAGTTTGAGCTGGCTCTAAACAAGTTTTCAGGGAATTTATCTACAACACCGTAAATAATATTCATTGCTGTTCCTGACATAACTTTCATCACCCTACCACCAAACACAATGTGTTACTTTCAGAGGCTCTTGGAACTTCCTGGAAGAAGCCAGTCTGAGCACCCATTAGTAGGTCACCATGTGTTTTTTTCTGAAGCTGACTAACACTGGAGTAACTACTGCACATAGACAAGGCCAACTCTGTTGTGTAAAATGTGCATCAAAACTTCCAATCCAAAAAGTAACAGCTGGGGAGGGCAACTGATCCAACCATGTCGAAGTCACCTGCTAAGGCCTGTAAATAAAGGTAGTGTTAAGCTCTCACTCAGTTGCTTAACCCATGTCAATATCATCACTTCCAAGATCTCAGCAGTTGCACTGCTATTGTGGTCAAGGTGCAGGACTAGAACATGAAGAGCCTTCTGTTTGAATCTGAATAATTTACCAGACTGAATGCAATCCATGCCATGGGTTGTGAGCCTGAAGCAGAAATAGACGAGTTTGCAAACTCGGCAAGTTTACCGTACTCCCAACACGTGGTTCCATCACCATACCAACATTGCTGGCTTGCAGATGAAGCAGGGATAGGCCATAGGTGCAAGCACCAACACAGCCCCAGCACATGTGCTCTGTTTTCATCACTATTAAATGGAGAATCTTCAGATATGCTTTTCTAGGAATCAACAATAACAGGTTCTGAAGGGGAGCAGTCAGCAACTTGACAAAACCTCTAACTACAAACACCCCCAAAAAAAACTTAAGTGCAAGTGTTGTTCATTCATTCCTTTCCTGTGTTGGCTGTGCTTTCTGGGCAAATTGAGTTTGTTTCAGAAATTTGGTGCTGGATATATACAGGCAGCATCAGTAGAGAGAAACCGAGTTACCCTCATTGGCCCAGAGTTTCAATACAGGTGCATCACAACCTGAAATACTAGTTCTAATTGTCTCTCCCTAGGCACTCTGACCTCCTCGCGTTTTTGATTTCAGATTTCCAGCTGCTGGGCTGCTTTGCTTTTACCTCTCTAGTCGGGTCAATGTGGAAACAGAATTCAATGAAGAGGAGGGGGCCACTCAGTGCGACAAAGTCTCTGTTTGTCTGTAACAGGCAGCCACGTTGTACCCGAGAGTCAGAGCAGATCCCAATATGGATCACAGAATCCCTACAGTGTGGAAGTAGACCATTGGGTCCATCAAGTCCATACCATCCCTCCAAACAGCATCCCACCCACTTCCACACCCCTACGCCTGTAACCCTGCATTTTCTATGGCTAATCCACCCAGCCTGCCTATCTCCTGACACCACAGGGTAATTTAGCATGGTTAATCCACCTAACCTGCACAACTCTGGACTGTAGGAGGGAACCAGAGTACTTGGAGGAAACCCACGCAGACACGGGGAGAATGTGCAAACTCCATACAGACAGTCACCCGAGGGTGGAATCGAACCCGGGTCCCTGGTGCTGGGAGGCAGCAGTGCTAACCGCTGAGCTACTGTGCTGCATATGGATGAAACAGATTCCTGGGAGCATGTATAACTGGTCGTGGACCGTAATACAAATGCATACGTTAACCACTGCTAAGAAATTCACCAAAACACAGAAAAGGAGGCCACTTTGAAGGGTAAATTGAGAAAGGTTTAAATGGAAAACTAAAGGTGTAACAGACCCCTTCTTTTTAAACATGCCAGAGCAAACAGTCTATTAACGTTCTGTATGCAAACAAGTTAACTTACACAAAAAGCTCACTCCAGAGGCAAAACACATGACTTGAAGGTGATCAAATATGGGGAAAAGTATCTCTCTGAAAAGGATCAAGACATTAATATGATTCCTCTAAGCGGACATACCTGTACTGCATCTGGAGACACTGATGACTGGTTTTTTGGATGGACTGTCAGTACTTTCTAGAACATGACCACAAGAGGAGGCTAAGGCAACAAAATTAAAAGCCTAGACAGAGGGTGAGCAAGCCAGAGGTGACGCAAGAGACACCACCCGCTGCCTCCCCCCCCACCCCACCCAACTCCAAAGTACCCAGCACAGAACAGCATTCGCTTGCCAGGAGGCGATGCCCACCAGCAAGTTTGCAAGGATTTCAACTACCCTCTGAAATCACAGAGACCAAATGTGAATTCCTTGTGTGCTTGCCAGCACGAAATGGCCCAGTGTTTATACCAGATCAGTTTCTTGAGGGGGTGGGGGGAAGAGAGATGGGGGGAGAGAGAGGGTGAAGCGAGAGGGGGGAGAGAGAGGGCAAAGAGAGAGGTGGTGAAGAGAGAACGCAAAGAGAGAGGGGGGAAGAGAAAGTGCGGAGAGGGGGGAGAAAGAGCGTGAAGAGAGAGGGGGGAGAAACAGCGCGAAGAGACGGGGGGAGAAAGAGCACGAAGAGAGGGGGGAGAGAAAGCGAGGGGGGGGGAGAGAGGAGGAGAGAGGGGGGGGAAGAGGGTGGGGGGGAAAGAGAGGGGGGAGTGTGTGTGTTCAGGAAGGCTGTTCTGAGGAGTTTAATAGAGCAGGAAGGAGGGTAGAGCAGTGATTTGCTCCAAGCTCAGCGTCCTCTCCCGCACCCCACGCTATGGCCCCGAGTTGGCAATCATTTCTTAGCCACTGCCAGTTAAGCCAGTTCCAAATGCCAGGACTGCAGCACTCAAGTTAAAATGTTAGAAATCTGCAAAGAACTGAAACAAGGCATAAAATGTGGACATGTATTGTTTAGCCAGCATCTGCAAAGCAAAAAGACAGATTAACATGCATCCCTTTCCTGGGAAAATCCACTGCCAGTCTCATTATGGACTGAAATTAAAACAGAAGATCAACATGACTTCTAATAGATTCAGGTCCGATTAAAAGGCCACCTATTTGAAATGTCAATTCTGCTGCTCTCTCTCTATTGATGCTGCCTGAACTGCAGAGTACTTCCAGCAACGCTTGTTTTTATTCACATTGCCACGTTGGGCAGTATTTCACTAACTTGTCGTCAAATTTTTATTAGGCAAGGCTTACATGCCCAAAGGTGGGGATGCGGTGTTAGGGTACAGACCAACGCCAACTGGACACAATGGTGCGGAGCAGGCTCCAGGACACGCTGAATGGCCTTCACCTGTTACTATATTCCTTTGCACTGATCTGACCGTACATTCGTATATATACTTTCTGCGCACTGCTATAATGGAGTCACTCCTTGGGCAGGTTTACATCATCCCACCTATTAAGGAGGGGTGGGGGTGTTGGGAGGTCAACTGTCTGGTTTGGGCAGAACAATAGGGAAGACATATCATCGGCAAAACATCGAGAGTTTTAGCCGTGACTCCCTCCCTTTCCCCCCACCCCCGACACACACAATGGAAGACAGATTGGTTCATTGAAAACCCATTCATTTCCACAGCATTAACATTGAGCAGAAACTGTCAGCTTAAAACCTCCCCCTACAATGATGGAACTGATGCAAATCAGGGGAAAAAAACTATTAAGTTTTTTTTTGAAATGGGTAGAGTCAAAAATTTTGCAGTCCTGTACAGATCAAATTAACAATTACAGATTGCGTGAACGACTCCAAGGTAACGTAGTCAGTCCCAGCTTGTGCATACAATAGCTCCGCAGAACCAGCTCAGTAAACCCTCCCAGTTAGTGCTCAGAATGGCCACACTGCCTCTACCCGAAAAACGGGAACATTTCTTTCCTTCAACGCAAAAAAAAACGACAAAGGTGTCAATGTGGAAACTTTAAATACACCAATAATTCTTAGCAATTTTTCTTCTCGATTTTTAAAAAAAAAAGCTCTCTCTAAAATGTCCAGATGGTAACTCGCCTTCTTAAAATGTTCAAACACTGCAGTGTTCCGAGAGAGCGAAAGCAAGCAGAAGACAGATCATGGATTCAGGTTCACTGGAACAGAGGCTCGTGGTCAAGTCTTGGGGGGGGGGGTAGGGAGGAGGAGAAGAAGAGGGGCTTCCTTTCGTCATTCTGTAACAGGCTCCCCCCACCCCGATCAAAACAACCTGGGAATGGCCCAGTCACATACACCCATGTACTTCTGTCCACACTGTTTCTGTGGTTTAAGTTGACCAATCTCCGACCTTGCCACAATGTCCCCGTGGTCAAAGATCCTTTTGGGTGCCTGATGTATCTCACACAGGACAGCAGGAAGCGATCTGCTGCACTTTGCCCAGGTCCGTGAGGAGCTGCTTCATCCGGTGCTTGAGCTGAGGCAGTCGGGTTAGTGGGTCAGGAGGCTCCAGCTCACCAGAATAGTCCAACCAACTCTCGAGAACTAGGAGCCAGACAGAACAGGGAGAAAACAGCATTATCATAGAATCCCTGCAGTGCAGACAGGGGCCATTCAGCCCATTGAGGCCACACTGAAAAGCATCCCACCCAGACCCACCCCTGTAACCCTGCATTTCCCATGGCTAACCCACCTAGCCTGCACATCCCTGGACGCTACGGGGCAATTTCCCATGACCACTTCACCCTAACCTGTGCACCTTTGGACTGTGGGAGGAAACTGGAGCACCCGGAGTTAACCCACGCAGACACGGTGGGGGGCAGGGGGTGGGGGGGAAAGAATGTGCAAACTCCACATAGACAGTCACCCGAGGGTAGAATCGAACCCGGGTCCCTGGTGCTGTGAGGCAGCAGAGCTAACCACTGAGCCACTGAGCCACCGTGCCACTCAATTACTTGTGACAAAGCTGTGCACCAGCTCGCAAATTTCCTTCTACAGTTCCATCCACGCTCCCCACAAAGGCAACTCCAAAAGCAGCTCCCAAACACACACCATCCAAATGCAGACTACGTCATCCACCTCCTCATTTTCACTACCCAAAAGGAGTGGTGGGTGGAACTTCAACACACGGCCAAAGTTATTACAGATTAATAATCTGTACCCAGGCCACTGTGTGTGAAATCACAAATCAAAACATTCAAAGTATTTTCAATATTATCTGCTGCTGAGTGATTTAAGAGATGCCTTTAAAAGCAAAGACAAAGTAGGTCACCAATAAATGTACCACTGACTATCTGCAGTATGGAAACATGCCATTCAACCCATATGTTTAATGCCAGCGTATATGGCCCACCCAAGCCAATTCAACACAACGGCTTGCATTCTTCACACGACTCAGCAGCTTATGGGTTCAACACAAGAATTAGGAGCAGCAGCAGACCATTCAGCTCATCGAACCTGCTCCATCACTCAATATCATCACAGCTGACCTCGTGCTTCAACTCCAGTTTTCCGCTCACTTCACAAATTTCTCCATTCTGAGACACTGAAATACATGCAACCTTAAGTACACACAATAATGCTACAGGCACGGCCTCGTAGGATAGACAGTCCTCAGTGAGGCAATTTTTAACATAGAACATAGAACAGTACAGCACAGTACAGGCCCTTCGGCCCACGATGTTGTGCCAAACTTTTACCCTAAACCTAAGTAATGTCTATCTAACCTCCACCCCTACCTTATACTATCATCCATATGCCTATCTAATAGCGGCTCAAATGCCCCTAATGAGGCCAACTCCACTACCCTCTCCGGCAATGCATTCCACGCCCCTACCACTCTCTGAGTAAAGAGCCTACCTCTGACATCTCCCCTATATCTACCTCCACTCACTTTAAAACTATGCTCCCTCGTAATAGCTACCTCCACCCTAGGAAAAAGTCTCTGGCTGTTCACTCTATCTATACCTCTGATCATTTTGTACACCTCTATCAAGTCACCTCTCATCCTTCGTCGTTCTAAAGAGGAAAGCCCCAGCTCTCTCAACCTTTCCTCGTAAGACCTTCCCTCCATTCCAGGCAACATCCTGGTAAATCTCCTCTGCACCTTTTCCAACGCTTCCACATCTTTCCTGTAATGAGGAGACCAGAACTGGACACAATACTCCAGATGTGGCCAAACCAGGCTTTTGTATAGCTGGAGCATAACTTCATGGCCCTTGAACTCGATCCCTCTATTAATGAAAGCTAACACACCATACGCCTTCTTAACAACTCTATCCACCTGGGTGGCAGCTTTCAGGGAACTGTGGACATGAACCCCAAGATCCCTCTCCTCCTCCACACTGCCAAGAATCTTTCCGTTAACCCTGTATTCTGCTTTCAAATTTGTCCTTCCAAAATGAAGCACTTCACACTTTTCAGGGTTAAACTCCATCTGCCACATCTCTGCCCAGCTCTGCATCCTATCAATGTCTCTCTGTAACCTAGCACAGCCCTTCGCACTATCCACAACTCGACCCACCTTCGTATCGTCCACGAACTTACTAATCCACCCTTCTACTCCTGCATCCAAATCATTTACAAAATCACAAATAGAAGAGGACCCAGAACAGATCCTTGTGGTACACCACCCGTAGCTGAGCACCACGTTGAATATTTTCCATCCACTACCACCCTTTGTCTTCTAAGGGTCAGCCAATTCTGAAACCAATCTGCCTTATTTCCCCCTATCCCATGCCTCCTTACTTTCTGCATGAGCGTACCATGGGGAACCTTATGAAATGCCTTACTTAAATCCATGTATACCACATCCACTGCTCTACCTTCATCCACGTGTTTGGTCACCTCTTCAAAGAATTCACTAAGGTTTGTGAGGCATGATCTACCCCTCACAAATCCACGTTGACTATCACGAATCAAACTGTGCCTATCCAAGTGATCATAAATTCTATCTCGCAGAGTCCTTTTCAATAATTTGCCCACCACTGACGTAAGACTAACTGGCCTGTAATTTCCGGGGTTATTCTTATTCCCTTTTTTGAACAAGGGAATGATGTTTGCCTCTCTCCAATCTTCCGGCACTATACCTGTGGACAGTGAGGACGAAAGATCTTCACCAAAGGCCCTGCGATCTCTTCCCTCGCTTCCCATAGAATCCTTGGATAAATCCCATCAGGCCCAGGGGACTTATCTATCTTCAAGTTCCTCAAAATTCCTAGTACATCTTCCTCACTAACATCGACCTCCTCTAGCCTACCAGCCTGTTTCACACTGTCCTCCTCTACAACTAGGTCCCTCTCAGTTGTGAATACCGAAGAAAAGTATTCATTACGGACCTCTCCTATCTCTTTAGGCTACGTGCACAAATTCCCTTTACAATCCTTGATCAGCCCTACCCTTTCTCTGGTCATTCTCTTATTCCTCACGTACGTGTAAAAAGCCTTGGAGTTTTCCTCGATCCTATCTACCAAGGTTTTCTCATGCCCCTTTATAGCTCTCCTAAGCCCTTTCTTCAGCTCCTCCTGGCTAACTTATAAACCTCTAGAGCCTTTTCCGTCCCTTGTTTCCTAAACCTTATATAAGCATCCTTCTTCCTCTTAACTAGCCATTCGACCTCTCTTGAGAACCAAGGCTCCCTCACTCAATCGCATCATCCCTGCCTGCTAGGGACAAACATATTGAGCACACGCAGTATGCATTCCTTAAACAAACAAACAATCTCCACATTTCTATAGTGTTCTTCCCTGACTGCATCTGTTCCCATTTTATGTTACCCAGTTCTTGCCTAACAGAATTGTAATTACCCTTTCCCCAATTATAAACCTTACCCTGCTGTATATACCTATCCTTTTCCATGACTATTGTAAAAGTAACAGAGTTATGATCTCTACCGCCAAAATGCTCCCTTACCAACAGGTCTAACACTTGGCCCGGTTCAATGCCAAGCACCAAATCCAAAGTGGCCTCTCCTCGTGTTGGTCTATCTACGTACTGTGTCAGGAATCCTTCCTGAACGCACTGGACAAAATCCGTTCCATCTAAACTATTACAACTAAAAAGTTTCCAATCAATATTTGGAAAGTTTAAGTCACCCACGACTACAACCCTGTGACTTCTGCACCTTTCCAGTATCTGACTCACAATCCGCTCCACGACTTCTCTGCAACTATTAGGGGGTCTGTAAAAAACCCCCAACAAAGTGACTGCTTTTTTCTTGCTCCTGACCTCAACCCAAATTGACTCTGTAGACATATCATTATCGAACTGCCTTTCAGTAGCTGCTATACTAGCCCTGACTAGCAATGCCGCTCCCCCGCCTCTTTTACCACCCTCCCTATTTCTTTTAAAGCATCTAAATCCCGGAACTTCCAACAATCATTCCTGTCCCTGAGTTACTGAAGTTTCTGTAATGGCCACAACATCGTAGTTCCAAGTACTGACCCATGCTCTAAGTTCATCTGCCTTATTTCTGATACTTCTAGCATTTAAGTATACACACCTCAAACCGTCCCTGTGTCCACAATTACGCTCCAACAACCGCAATTCTTTATTAACAACCTCACTCCCTGTTGTGACTGTTGGAAGGCTGAATACCTCATCTTCTGAATTACAAATCTGGTTCCCCACCCCCTGCCAATCTAGTTTAAACCATCCTGTATAGCTCTAGCAAACCTCCCTCCCAGGATATTTGTGCCCTTCCAGTTCAGGTGCAACCCGTCCTTACTGTACAGGTCCCACCTTCCCCAGAATGTGCTCCAATTATCCACATCATGGAAGCCCTCCCTCCTACACCAGCCCTGTAGCCACGTGTTTAGCTGCACTCTCTCCCTATTTCTTACCTCGTTATCACGTGGCACGGGTAGTAATCCAGAGATAACTACCCTGTTTGTCCTGGACTTCAGCTTCCAACCTAACTCCCTGTACTCGTTTTTCACATTCTCAGTCCTTTTTCTACCTATGTCATGGTACCGATGTGTACCATGACTGCTGGTTGCTCACCCTCCTCCTTAAGGATCTTGAAGACACGATCCGAGACATCACGGACCCTAGCAGGCTGGAGGCAACATACCATCCGTTCGTCTCATTCACGTTCACAGAACCGCCTGTCTATGCCTGTAACTATTGAATCCCCCACTACAATTGCTCTCATATTCTCCCCCCTTCCCTTCTGTGCCACAGAGCCAGACTCCACGACTTAGTCTGAAATAATCAACTGCCTATCCTGAGATTGTGCCTCTATGTTCTACATTCTCCAACCCAGGGGGAAACAACCTCTCACAGTTGCTGCCCTGTCAAGATCTCGCAGATCGAAAGTGCTGGAAGATCATGCAGTCATCATGTCAGAGGCTGCAGACAGGTTGGGGGCGGGGCAGGAGGGGAAGCGAGCTTGCTGTTGTTACAAACATTTAACATTATCCCTGTGTCCCTAAAGTCTTCACTGGGTACAACATTCTGACTGTAACCCACAAAAGGTGCACAATACCTTCCTGCCTTCCATACTCTATTCCTCTACATATCAGCTCAATAGGACCCGAGGGTACAGCCTCAGAATGAAGGGGCGATGAGGATGGAATTTCTTCACCCAGAGAGTGGTGAATCTGAGGAACTCATTGCCACAGAAGGCTGTGGAAGCCAAGTCATTGAGTGTCTTTAAGGCAGAGGTAGAGAAGTTCTTGATTAATAACAGCATCCAGGGTTACGGAGAGAAAGGAGGAGAATGGGGTTGAGAAATGTATCAGCCATGATCAAATGCTAGAGCAGACTCAATGGGCCGAATGGCTTAAATCTGCTCCTATATATTTTGGTCAAGCATTTTTAGGCTTTTTCTATTTAATCACCTTGTCTTCTCACCAAAACTTCCACAATTGCAATGGAAGGCTTTGTGAATGCTTTCAGCATATTTCCTATCCCACGTGTTTGTTTCAAAGTCTTCACAACATAGCACAACACTCAGCTCACCCAGTCCATGTCAGCTCTGCAGTGTAGCCTAATCCAATCCTCTCTCCCCACAGTCCTGTAAAGTTTATATCCCTTGAAAAGCCTTGAAATTTCCTTTTGCTACTATTCATGGTCCTGATCTCCAACAGCCCCATAAGCAGCGAGTCCAGGTCATTACCACACATTGTGTTAGTAAGCTCCTCTCCCACGTCTTCCAACGCATTACTGCCCCTGTGCCTACCCCACTGACAAACATTAACTCAGCATGGTCTAGCTCTTGTACCAATGGGGATCATGTATCTATCAGATTAGTCTCTGATGGAGCATCATTGTTGGGTATGACGTCAAAGACCCTAAAGCCCCACACACGAAACACAGGAACAGACAAATGTCACCATTTACCGTCCAGCTCTTTCTCAATGAAGTCCATGCGATGGCAGACCTCGTCCTGCAATGACTCGACGTGTGTCAGTAAGTTGACCTGCCACTGCAGCTGGGGGTCACTGGACCCTTCGTTCTCACTTTGCTTCAGCTCACAGCTTTCCTTCTCCGCTTCTGCCTCGGGAGATGTATCGCCGCTGCTGCCACGGACCTGAGAGAAGGTAGACGGCACTCGGTGAAAACATTCCCGCTGGGAGATCCGACGATTCAGAGGAGGGGCTGTGTGAGGGGGAACCAGTCCTCGCTACAATAAAGTACAGAGCTTCCCAAACCCTTTCTCACAGTGGCTCCGTGTGGTAGAACTCCCAGAGTTCCCACAGCAAAGTTACAGGCACAAACCCAGAAATCTGAATTTTCTGATTTTCTGAAGAAGGGTCGAGACCTGAAACGTCAGCCTTCCTGCTCCTCTGATGCTGCTTGGCCTGCTGTGTTCATCCAGCTCTACACCTTGTTATCTCAGATTCTCCAGCATCGGCAGTTCCTACTATCCCAGAAATCTACCTATTCTGTACGCTCTTGGGGACAGTGACCAGGCTAAAATTCCTTCACAGTGAGCCACATGTACTAGCAAAAAGAAAAGATGCTTATGGCAACTGATCCCCGAACTGTCAAATCTCATCTGCACTGCTGTTGTGGACCTCATGGCTCTGATCGCTGGTCTCTTAACCTGCACTGAGGGCGAGGAGCCGTGATCAATGATTTGGGAATTCCTGATATACAGCTATCCACAAGAGGGAGGTCAGAAAATACAGATGGCAGTTCTCGCTCACCACCAACCACACCTCCTCCCACATCCCCAACCGAAGCTGTACACAGGTCAAATTGGACACCCTCCAATACAGTACCGCTCTCGCCAAGGCGGAATGTACAGAATAGAAGCAGGCCATTCAGCCCAATACACCTACACAATGAGAAGATTCCTCAGCAGCCCACACCTCCAACACCATCTCTCACTCCACAAGGGGACACATAATTCTGATCCGGTACATTTCCCATCTTGTTGGTGTTGGGAGAAGTACGGCAGGTAAATACTTGGGACGTTAAACACCTGACCTATTGCTGGCTGGTGTGACCCACTCAGGTGGTGACCTTTCCAGATAGTTAGAAGTGGAATGACTGACCTTGCAGGAACCGGCTTGCTCTCGGCGAACCTCGAGGTCAGGCTTTCCCGAGTCGTCGTCGAGATTCCGCCCGAACCTCTCGGCCAGAGTTTCGTCTCCATTCTCCCTCATCCTGCCGATCCCCTCATCCAGCGCGGAGTTGCGGGTCTCCACCACCAGCCTCTGCTCTGCCGCGGGGTAATAGGCCCGAGGCTTCTGGTAACAGTGCTCGTTGGTGATGTAGGACTCTTCGATCATGGGAGCTCTGTTCTGCTGCTCAGCCGTGCCATTCTGTGCCCTGCATGGTGTGCTGGCGCTGGCGCTGACCCCGCTGTTGCTGTCCTCGCTGGGCGCACTCTGCCTTTCCCTCAGCTTCTCGAAGGCCGTCGAGGAGATTCTCCATGGCTTGCACCAGAGCTTCAGATCCGGTTGGTCTTTATTCCTGGTTGGAGTTGGGGAGACAGAGAACAGAACGCAGGCCATCAGCCCACAAAGTGGGTAAAGTCAACAGACTCAGATGTGTGCAGCTTCCCAATCGCCGTGGGGGGAAAAAAAAAATGCGCTCTGCCTCAGTCTCACCATCTGCAATGGTACAGTCCCCTCTCCCAGTTCACATGGCATCCAGCCCCTGGGGTTAATCACTGAGGGTGCCACTTTACAGAGGGTGGGCCCACCAGGAACCCTTCCATGGTTTGGCGCAAGGGGTGGGGGGTGGGGAGAGCCTCAACGGATACCCTGAGAGCGAGAGGGGCATTGTCCAGGCCCCTGGCTCTCCTGTTCAAACACACTCATCTCTTAAAAAAAGCTGACTACACACTTCTCCTCATCGTTCTTGCCATCATTCAAATAAAATTCTTCAGCTGAGGGGAGGTTTACTCACTGCCACAGGGCATTTACAAACTAAGCAACTTCTGTGACATATAGCAGGGGTTGCATATGTATACTATCTCTATACAATAATACAGTGCATACCACTAGGCACTGGACTGTTAATCCATTACCCAGGTAATGTTTTGGGGGACCCAGGTTCGAATCCCACCATGACAGATGGTAGAAATCGGATTCAATAAAGAATTTGGAATTAAGGCTCTAATGATGACCACGAAACCATTGTTCATTGTCAGAAAATACCTTTGTCGTTAAGGGAAGGAATGTGACTTCAGACCCAGAGCAATGTGGTTCACTCTTAACCGCGCTCTGGGCAATTAGGAATGGGCAATAAATGCTGGCTTAGCCAGAGGTGCCCTCATCCCGTGAATGAATAAAACTGTGAACAAAAACGGAAATTGCTGGAAAAGCTCAGCAAGTCTGGCAGCATCGGTGAAGAAAAAAAATCAGAGTTAACGTTCCCGGTCTATGACCCTTCCTCAGAACTGATGGTAGCTGGGAAAACGTTGGTTTATATGCAGAAGATAGGGAGGGGGATGGGGTAGGGAGTAAACAATAGGATAAAGGATAGAGCCCAAGGAGAGTGAACAGTGGATGGACAAAGGAATTGATAATGATCTGGCTAGGAGGGTGAATAGCTGTTAATGGGGATTGTTAGTGACTGGCAATAGGTAGTGTGTAATGACAGGCTATGTGGTAACAAGGACTGGTGTGTGTGGGGTAGGGGGCTGGGACATGGAAGAGTTTAGCCGTAAAATTATTGAACTCGATATTGAGTCCAGAGGGCTGTAGGGTTGCCAAGTGGAAAATGAGGTGTTGTTTTTCCAGCTTGTGCTGAGGTTCGCTGGAACACTGCAGCAAGCCAGAGACAGAGGTGTTGGCTAGGGATCAGGGTGGTGTGCTAAAGTGGCAGGCAACAGGTAGCTCAGGGACTTTTTTGCAAGCAGAATGTAGATGTTCCCCCTCCCTCCCTACCTTCTGCATATAAACCGACGTTTTCCCACGTACCATCAGTTCTGACCCGAAATGTTAACTCTGATTTTTTTCTTTACAGATGCTGCCAGACCTGCTGAGCTTTTCCAGCAACTTCTGTTTTCGAACCTGATTTACAGCATCCGCAGTTCATTCGGTTTTTATTATGAATAAAACTATATCTGCTGTACAGTAACAATAAAAACAACGCGATGGAGAAACTCAGCAGGTCTGGTAGTATCTGTGGAGAGAGAAACAGAATTCATCTCTCGAGTCCAATATGATTGCTCTTTGGATCTCCAACCTTGACAGTATGTTGACACCCACCCCATGGCCAGGGCCCAGTAACTGGGGTTCCAGGCGCTAAGGAACCCATTGTGCTGGTGCTGGGACCAGTATGCACAGGCCCTGGTCTGGAGGAACCCAGGCCAGGGACAGCACCAGGATCCGTGACCTCTGTCCCTGCGCCTGGCACCCCCTCCATCCGAGGTAGATGTTGTATCAGCTGTCACCATTGCACCCCCCAATGGCAGCATTGAGTACTGCCTGGGGAGGTAGGAACCCAGCTCCCCTGGAATGACCCACTGCTGCCCCTTCCGCATCCGTTTGCCACGAGACAGAATCACACAATCCCTACAGTGTGGAAACAGGCCCTTCGGCCCAACAAGTCCACACTGACCCTTGGAGCATCCCACCCAGACCCATCCCCTACAACCCACATAAGCTCTCCAGGAGTTCGCTGCCCTTGTCCTTCTAAGTAGGAGGAGTCATGAGTTTGGAAGATGTTAAACAGACTTGGTGAGCTGTTGCAGCGTATCTTGTCTCTAGCACACAATACAATTCTGTGTGCCAGTGGTGCAGGAAACATTTATGGTGAATGGAGTAAATGGGCTGCTTTATCCTGGATGGCGTCAAGTTTCTTGAGCGTTGTTGAATCGATTTGGGAAGTGATCAGTATTCCATCACACTCCCAAATTGTGCCTCGTAGTGGGGAAACAGGAGGCAAGTTACTCTTTGCAGAATTCCTTGGCTCTGACCTGCTCTTGTAACCACAGTATTTATATGGCCATTCCATTCAATTTCTGGTCAGTAGTAAACTGCACAATTCAACAATGGTAAGGCCACTGAATGTCAATGGGAAGCAATTAGATTCTCTTTTGGCGGAGATGGTCATTGCCCACATTAGTATCACTTATCAGCCCAAGCCTGAATATTGTCCAGGTTTTACTGCATATGGACATGGGCTGTTTCAGTATGAGGAATTGTGAATAGTTCTGAACATCGAGCAATCATCATTAAATATTCCCACTTATGACTTTATGATGGAGGAAAGGTCATTCACTGACAATGTAGCTGAACATCGTTGGACCTGAACCTTACTCTGATGAACATCAGCTGTGATGTCCTGGGGCTGTGACAGTGCAGTTCTAATTTATCTATAAACTGTCCAACTTTATCTTAAGATGTAGAAATTAGTTAACTAATTCAACAACTTAAAAGATGAACAAAACTTAAAGCAATGATCCAAGCTCCATGTGTATTTGCCTTGGGTTTGGAAGAAAGGTGGCAACTGCATTTAAAAATAAACAGCTAGAACAATGAAAGTCAGAATTTTGCTACAGCTTCTCTTGCCTTTAAAAACATCTTTAATTTGTAACTGAAACCTGCAAATATTAGCAGCAGTATCTAAACTGGAGAATCAGAAGGCTTACATTTCCATCACTTGGCCTACATACACAAATCAGGCACATACCAGTGTCAGTATTTTTACAGCAGATTTCAGTCAATCGTTCTCCAGGGCTCTTGTCTGGTGTGTTGAGCAGGTGTGGTCGAAGGAGTGATTAAAGACAGTCATTCCGAAAAGGGGACAAGAGTGTGGGCCTCGCCAGCTCTCCACGCGGCAGCAGAGATCCCCTCCCTCCTCCAGTATTATATAGAGTCATACACCACAGAGACAGACTCTTTGTCCAAACTTGTCCATGCCGACCAGAGTTCCTCAATGGAACTAGTCCCATTGGCCTGCATTTAGTCCATATTCCTCACAACGTTTCCTATCCACGTAACTGTTCAGGTGCCTTTTAAATGTCATAATTGTACCAGCCTCCACCACTTCCTCTGGCAGCTCATTCCATATACACACCACCCTCTCTGTGAAAAAGTTGCCCCTTAAGTCCCTTTTAAATCTTTCCCCTCTCTCCTTAAACGTGTATCCCTAGTTTTGGACTCCCCCCACCCTGGGGAAAATACCTTGGCTATTCACACTATCTATCTATGCCCATCATGGTTTTACAAACTTCGAACAGGGCACCCCTCAGCCTTTTACACTCCAGGGGGAAAATGTCCCAGCCTATTTAACATTTCCTTATAACCCAAACCTTCCAGTCTAACATTCTGGTTTACTTTTTTGCACCCTTTCCAGTTAGTAACATCCTTCCTTATGCAGGGCAACCAGAATTATATGCAGTGTTGTCACATTGAGTTTTTGTTTTATTCACTCATGGAACAGGGGCATAGCAGGCTGGACTATTTATTGCCTGTCCCTAGCTTCCCTCGAGAAGAGTTTTCATCCGGTATTCCATCATGGAATAACATTGAGCCCAGCAGGTGTACAGCCTGTGGGAGAAATCACCTCCTAATCAGACTTTCACATTCTATGACTCAGAAAGGTCACAGGAGCAAGACTCTTGATAAGATTTACATTTGTACATCTCGAAGCCTAGTTTCACACATGAACCATTTGAAATAACTTTGTTTCCAGAGCACGATTCCGTTATTTTCTTCGGAGAAAGAATAATTAGAAATCATATACTTAAAAGGAGCATTCACACACCAATGATCCATCAGATGGTCTCAGGACCTCTGACAACACAAAAGTATCACAAACATTGCCCGATAATAAAAGCGCACCACTCTAGACGCTGTAAAATGGAAACTGCTCCCTCCTCCAGTCTCCAACAGCCCGGCCGGGCTCAGGTTGAACGACTGTCACATTTCCAATCTTCTCCAAACTCACTCTGCAGCATGAAGTCAGAGCAATTAGAAGACTCCTTCTCCCCACCACCGTCCCCCACCCGACACCCCAAACCATTTCCACACCAATAAACTCTCTCTCAACAAGGTGACACATAATTATGATCTGGCACCTTTTCCATCTTGTTGGTGTAAGGAGAGGCACAGTAGATAAATACCTGGGACAATAAACACCTGACCTATCATTGGCTGGTATGACCCACTAACGTGTTGACCTTTCAACGAAAACGTTCAAGCCATCGGCACTCTGACTTACTGCAGGATGTATATCTTTAGCTGCAGCCCATGTAGCACCTCGATCACCTTGTGGACATCCCCCAGTAGCTGGTGCGTCGAAACTATCTTCCCACTGTTCTGATGAGAATAATTCTCTTTTAGAAAGGTCAGGCCATGCATGTGGCCACTGCTTAGCCACTCCTTGTCATACCAGTATCTGGAGCTCAAACGCTGATCTACAGAAGAAATAATACATCAATCAATTGGCACTTGTCAAAAAAATAAAAAAATCACTGAAGGCTAAGAACTAAACATTTCCCACGCTCATTTAAGCAACACAGAAGCCGAGTGCAGAGTTTCCACTCAATTCCATTAGTGTCACTAATGAGTCACACTATTATCTGTGGCTCAGTGGGTCTAGAATTTCTTAGGGTAGCATCCCATGGCCAACTACCTTCAGCTGCTTCACTGATGACCTTCCCATCATTGTGAGGTCAGATGTTCAGTATCATTCACAGCTCCTCAGACACTGAAACAGTTCATGTCCAAATGCATCAAAACCTAGACAATTTCCAGGTTTGGGTAGATAAATGGCAAGTGACATGCATGCCACACAAATGCCAAGCAACTACTAACCCCAACAAGACAGAACCTAATCATCTGCTCTTGATGTTCGAAGGTATTTTATCATTGCTGAATCCCACACAATCAACATCCTGAGGGTTATCATTGACTGGAAACTGAACTGGGCTAGTCATACAAATACAGTGGCTACGAGAGTTAGGAATGCCACAGCAAGTAAGTGACTCCCCAAAGCCTTTCCACCACCTACAAGGCACAAGTCAGGAGTGCGATGGAATACTACCCACTTGTCTGGATCAGTGCAGGTCCACAAACACTGAAAAAGCTTGACACCAAAGCAGCATGCTTAACTGGCATCACATCCAAAAAAAAATTCACTCCTTCCACCATCAACACTCAGAAGCAGCAGTGTGTACCGTCTACAAGACACACTACAGCAATTCACCAAGGCTCCTTAGACAGCACCTTCCAAACCCATGACACTACCATCTAGAAGGACAAGGGAGCAGGTACATAGGAACACAACAACCTGTAAGTTACCCTCTAAGTCACTCACCATCCTGGCTTGGAAATATTTTGCTGTTCTTTTAGTGTCGCTGGGTCAAAGTCCTGGAATTCCCTCCCTAAGGGCACTGTGGGTCTAATTACAGGACATGAACTGCAGCATTTCAAGAAGGCAGCTCTCCACCACTTTCTGCTAGGGACAGTTTATAAAGACTGGCCAACCAGTGATGCCCACGAGTGAACAACAGAAAATGAACTGTACTCTGGTGAACATGTAAGATTGTCCCACAATACTTGAATAGGAATTTTCTTGATCCTCGACCTGTGCCTCCACACCAGCTGAACACAACCATCATTGTTGACTGAGATAATAAGGTGTAGAGCTGGATGAACACAGCAGGCCAAGCAGCATCAGAGGAGCAGGAAAGCTGACGTTTCAGGTCGAGACCCTTCTTCAG